TCAGCATCCCTGCCTGTTTTCTTGTCCCAGCTGTCACAGCTGCAGCCTCGGTGAGCCCGAGGAGGACGTGAGGGCCCTTTGGAGAGGGAAACAGTACCAGGTACTCGATTCCAGTTGACTTTCCAAATCAAAGCAGCAGGTGAGAAGGAAACAGCAGCACAGGGTGTGCTCTTGCTGTGCCCGATGCTGTGATGGGGGTGCTCTTGCACTGACAAGCAGGGTACAAGAAAACTCCAGCAGCTTCTGCCCCACAGAAACTGTGGRTGCCCCATCCYTGAAATTGTTCAAGGTTRGGTGGGACTATGAGCAACCTTGTTTAGTGRAAGTTGTCCCTGCCCAYGGCAGGGRGKTTGGAAACAGATGATTTGCAACATCCCTTCCAACTGAAACCATTCTGTGATTCTAATCCCCCTTGTTTGACTGACAAAGGCTTCCTCATCTCTAATGGGGCAGAGCATCATTAGGTCTGTGGTTTGCCAGGATTTACAGAGCATAATAGTTCTGCCCCTGGGTTTATAGATTCTGGCAGGTTTTCAGGAGCGTGGCTGGTTCAGCCGGGGTTGCAGCAACGCTTCCCAAGCTCACCTCTGCCTCAGAGGGGGCAGCTCGTCCCTCAGCTCCCCGGGGCCTCAGGCACAGTGCCCGAGCTGCAGGGAAGGGAAAACGCGATGCTAAATGGGCCTGGTGAGATGCCTGTGCGGTGTGTTAACAGCCTGTGCACCCCAAACCTCCCTGATCCAGCCCAGGCTGATGATGTGGGAGTGTTGGTGCCCACGGTTCTCTGCTGCAGGCAGGGTGGATGCTCTTGCTCACAGCTTTGGTTGGTTGTGACACTGCACAAAGACAATTCCACGCTGCCACTGACCTTCCTGCTAGAGCTCTAAAGCCCTGGGCACTCAGGAGCCGCTGCCTGCTGGTGAGACAGGAGGGATCTGCTCCATCCCTCACCCCGGTGGGCTGTGGCTCTGCTGAGCAGGGTCCCCGGGGTACTGAGGCGTGTCTCTGCTGGCAGCTGCTTGTGGTGAGTTGGCAGCACTGATGCCAAGCACTCCTTKCCTTTGCCAGCGCTGTCAGTCAACACCAGATCCTTTCTCTGTAATGTTGAAACACAAATTGTCACAGTGGGTGTGTAAACTGTGCCTGGTGGATATGCTGAGCAGGGCTGTAAGCATGTGGAGAGGCAGGAGGGTGCCCRGGGGGGCAGGGTGGTGTCTGGAGGTGCAGCCTGGTGGGGGCACAGCCTGGCAGCTTGGCTCTRGCAGAAACCATGAGACAGCATTTGTTGATGGTTCCCAATCCCCGATTTCCCCATTGCTCAGAGTCCAGCTGCCTTGGAGAGTGTGCTGGCTGGTGGGTGAGCCTTGGCAGGGCTGTGGAGCTGGGTGGGGAGCCTCCAGCCCTGCCAGGACATGACACTGCTGCTCAGAAGGCTTCTCTGGCTATTTTATTAATTTGCTCTTCTTTGCTATTGCACACTTTTCGGACACTTATGTCACTACACAGTGCAGAGTATTTTTTAGTATTTCAGCAGCAGACTTTGTCTCAGTGAGGTACAAACTCGTGCTAATTTATGTCCTGGTTTTAAGGATCACCAAAAACCCATCACCCAGCTCGTTTCAGGAGGGCACTGCATTATATTCCAAGTGCACAGAACTCACAGACTCATCCTTAAAATTTCCCTGAGTGAATGCCCGGGATGTCTGTGGGACACGTGGCCATGGTGCATCCCCGGGCTGTGCAGGGCCAGCGTTCCTGCTGCCCCGGGGAGCAGCTGCTGCTGCGTGCTGCGGATGCTGGGACTGAGCCCTGGGCTAATATTAGCAGGAACGCGCCAGAGGGACGGGCACAGTGTCTGATGTGCCTTGGATTCAAGAGAGCAAAGCCCTGCAGATGGGATGGGCCTGCTGTTTGTGGACAGTCTCACTCCAGAATCCACGCTCTGTCCCACAAACCCGGCCCAGGGCTTTGCAGGATGAGAGCAGCGGGCTGGGAGCTGTGTGTGACTAACGGTCCCTCGTGTGCCAGCGCTCAATGCCTGGAAAAGGAAACGCAAAAAGACCTTTCCGATTTACATCTTGGATCATCCCAGCCCTGGGAGTGAAGCACAGCTCCTCAATTGTTGGATTTCCTGGTCTGTCCACAAAAAGTCGCTCTGTAATGGTCTCTGCTGGAGCTCTTTGTCGCCAGCTCAGTGTGGGCAGGGCAGAGCTGCTCATTCATGTAGCTGGTGCTCCAAGGCAGAAAAGTCACCTCTGATACCCTCAAAGTTGAGCTTTACAGCCACTTCAGAGAGTTTTCTCTCTCGTTCCACGTCTGCGTTTCTCAATCTGAGACAAAAGGATGGGTTGGATGTGAGTCTGCTGCCAAATCATCACGTGGTGGGAGAGGAAGGAGACAGGGGAAGGTGCCTATGGRAAGRGAG